GATGACTCTTTTGATGACACCAATAGGCGCTTTGTGCGGAGAATCCAAGAATCTGATGTCAGAGAGGCGTTGAAAAGGATGAAAGGAGGTAAGGCGATGTGACCGGATGGTATCCCAATCGAGGTGTGGAGATGCCTCGGGGACATAGCTATAGTATGGTTAACCAAGCTGTTCAACCATATTTTTCGATCGAACAAGATGTCTGATGAGTGGAGGAGAAGTATATTGGTACCGATCTACAAGAATAAAGGGGATATTCAAAGTTGTACTAATTACAGGGGAATTAAGTTGATGAGCCATACTATGAAGCTACGGGAGAGAGTTATCGAGCATCGCTTGAGAGCAATAACGCGGGTCTCTATGAACCAATTTAGTTTCATGCCCGGAAGGTCAACCATGGAAGCCATTTTCTTAATAAGACAAGTTATGGAGCGGTATAGGGAGAAGAAGAAGGACCTACACATGGTTTTTATTGACTTGGAGAAGGATTATGATAAAATACCAAGGAATGTTATGTGGTGGGCTTTGGACAAACATAAAGTCCCAACGGAGTACGTCGGGCTTGACATGTACAACAATGTTGTGACTAGAGTTCGAACAAGTGATGGAGACACGGATGACTTCCCGATTAGGATAGGACTACATCAAGGGTCAGCTTTGAGTCCTTATTTGTTTGCCTTAGTGATGGATGAGGTCACAAGGGACATACAATGAGACATCCCTTGGTGTATGCTTTTCGCGGACGATGTAGTGCTAGTTGATGAAAGCCGGACATGAGTGAATCAGAAACTGGAGTTATGGCGGGAGACTTTGGAGTCCAAAGGTTTTAGACTCAGTAGAACTAAAACTGAGTATATGAGATGTGACTTCGGCACTACTATTCGGGAGGAGGGAGATATTAGTTTGGAAGGTCAAGTAGTGCTTAAGAAGGATACCTTTCGATATTTAGGATCAATGCTACAGAGAGACGGTGATATTGATGAAGATGTTAGCCATAGAATCAAAGCAGGGTGGATGAAGTGGCGGCAAGCATCTGGTGTCCTATGTGACAAAAGGGTACCACAGAAGCTAAAAGGCAAGTTTTATAGGACGACGATTAGACCTGCTATGTTGTATGGTGCAGAATGTTGGCCTACGAAAAGACGACATGTTCAACAGATAAGTGTCGCGGAAATGCGTATGTTACGTTGGATTTGCGGTCATACAAGAAGGGATCGAGTTCGGAACGATGATATACGTGATAGATTAGGGGTAGCACCAATTGAAAAAAAAACTTATCCAACACCGGTTGAGATGGTTTGGACATGTCCAACGGAGACCTCCAGAGGCACCGGTGCGTAGTGGAATCCTAAGCCAGGATGGTAACGTGAAGAGAGGCAGAGGAAGACCGAAGTTAACTTGGGTAGAGACAATAAAAGGAGACTTGAAAGGATGGAATATACCCAAAGACTTAACCTTAGATAGGAGTGCTTGGAAGACAGCTATTCACGTGCCTGAACCTTGATTGCTTCTGGTGGGTTTCAACTCTAGCCTACCCCAACTTGTTTGGAACTTAAAGGCTTTGTTGTTGTTGTTGTTGTTGTTGTTGTACAAATGCATCTCATGTGTATTGCTGAGATTTAGGAGACTCCAGGTTTGCATGTGAGTATTAGTTGCTTTGATGCTTCAGCAACAAGGAAGTTGAGCTAGCTCAGTTGTCGAGGGTGTGGATGTATACCCAGACCACCCAGGTTCAAGTCCTCGTCAAGGCTATTTTGGGTGCCGATTTCCTTCTTAATAAAATGCCACCTAGTTCCTCCTAGGTTGGTCTAGTTTTTTTATATATTTCAGCAACAAATGATTCTAAAAATTCTTTATTGCACTTGATAAGTCTGACTAAAAATTCGATCTGCCACTATAAAAACTCAAATTATAAATTTACGATTGGAAGTCCCGGTCTATCGGCAAGTGACCCAAGTACCCAATTTATGATTGGAAGTCCTGGTCTATCGACAAGGCGTGAACTACCACTGGATTGCCCAATTCACTTGACGCTGTTCAAATGACCCAAGTATCCCCAACCTCTGCCCCTCTCATCCCACCATGCATGGCTGCTAACACACATCATCGCTGTCCTCTACAAGCCATGGGCGGTCAAGCTCCTCTGACTATTGATCTTATCAGATGGAGCAGACAGCAAGCAGAGGACAGACATGTGGATAGGGGCAACTTTGTCATGCCACAGCATGATGGAGCTGACATGTCAGTTTCATATTTGCAATTCATGCTTTTATAAACGGCAAATTCGAGTTAGTAGTGTCAAATATGCAATTTGAGCAGAAGCATGTGACGTCACAGATACTTCATTGATCTATTAGTCATTGTTAAGTGTTCCAAAGAAAACATCAGTGATAAGCATTTGCCATTGGCACTTACAGAAGTTTTCATTTCAGGTATAAGGCGGTTGGAATTAGGTTGGACTCCGGTGATTTAGCATACCTTTCCATTGAGACCCGCAAGTTCTTCCATGCAATTGAAAAAGAATTTGGAGTTGTTGGCTTTGGGAAAACAAGTATCACAGCAAGCAATGATCTTAATGAAGAAACTATAGATGCCCTGAACAAGCAGGTAATCCGCATAGTATCCATTCAATATGGTTGACGTTGTAGCATGTAGATTTGTCTCTTGTAGAGCAGGTTTAGAAAATATGTATATTGTAATTTCTGGCATGTGTAAGTTTGTGCTAATGATATGTGTGATCCAATGGTCAGATATCATTAACTGAACTACGTGCTTAGTAGTTATGGCTACTGACTAGCACATATATCTAATACAGACTGGAACAGCATGGTCCCTGTACTAACAGGAACAAATGAATTATTTGTGCTAAATACCTGGTAGCACTTAACCGGCTAGTGGAAACCTCTGCTTAATTCTTTGTTATGATGAATTCAACACAACACATGGCTGTGCAAGCAGGTTAAAATGTACAAGGCCGTGATAAATACATGTGTGCTCGCATTAATTACATTTATTGCGTCACTGCAATCTATACTTGATTATTTTCATTTTTTTTTGTGAAGGGCCATGAGGTAGATGCATTTGGTATTGGCACCAACCTAGTTACATGCTATGCACAAGCTGCACTTGGTTGTGTATTCAAATTAGTCGAGATTAACAAACAGCCTCGCATTAAGCTTTCTGAAGATGTCACAAAGGTATGTATGCCATTATTACTTCATAGCAGAAACACGTTTAGCTGTCTTCTATGCATCCAAACAGACCGAGAACTTAGTTGTCTGCTCCAGGTATCGATACCATGTAAGAAAAAATGCTACAGATTGTATGGCAAAGAAGGATATCCGTTGGTTGATATAATGACTGGAGAAGATGAGCCAGGTCCAAAGGTAAACAATATCCATGTTAATGCTTAAACATACAAACGGTGAGCTTGCATAAAAAAAATATTTCACTTCAAAATTCTACGCTACATGGCACCTACATGTTCTTCTTTCAGTTGTGATTTTGTATGCCATAGTTACTATTTTACGAAATCTGAAACAGCTGGTGGGTTTTATGATTTACCATTTGTTTATAGATTGGTGAAAGGCTCCTGTGTCGTCACCCTTTCAATGAATCAAAGAGAGCGTATGTTGTTCCGCAGCATGTTGAGGAATTATTGAGGTGCTACTGGCCTGGAACTTCATGTATGAACTCCCACCTGAGTTACTTCTGCATAGTGTTTTGTTACCTTATTTGCCCCTTGTGCATGCATGCTCCAATGACCGTGCTAGTTGTCTTTCATGAAGCATATTTACAATACACTGATGTGTACTAGTAGACTATGATGTGCTGCTAGTATTGGCCAAAAATAACTTATTGTTACTGCATGTATGATGCTAATCACCACAGCCAAATATAGAATAGGGTTTCTGCCACTAGGGATAGTGCACTGCTATCATAACAACCGTACCGCAAGAGCTGTAGGATTATCACTTACATCAGTTAAGTATGTGTCCTCGTTTAGTTTAAATTGTTAGACGGATAATAAAATTGTTATTTAAGCTGGGAGCCATTGATGTCAAAATGTGTTGTGTTGTCAATTGGTGAAGCGAATCCACGGGAGGTGCTTCCATCCATCCATGAGATTAGGACTCGGTGTATTCACCATCTGGACCGAATGAGGCCAGACCATATGAGGCGGCTGAACCCAACACCTTACAAGGTATTATAATCTTACTCTTGATCTGGATGCTATTAATGTCACAAGCTAAGACAATTTGATCGAGCTCATATTTTATCATGCATCGTTGTACCTGAACAGGTAAGCGTGAGTACTAAGCTGTATGACTTCATCCATTTCTTGTGGCTCAACGAAGCGCCTGTTGGAGAACTGCAATGAAGAAATGAGGTGGCGATAGGTTCAGAGGCTCAGAGCCCAAACCTAACTCTAATAACCTGCACCTCTCATATGGGAGATCCTAATAAACTGTTGCCGTCGGACAAATTTCTGATCCTAATAAACAGTTGCCATCGGAGCAATTTCTGCGGATGTTTTACGATCGCTGTGCTTCAGTAAAATGTGAGGATGTGTTGGTGGTGCATCTGTGAAAACAGACCTTAGCCGAAGTGTTACGTACTGGGAATCAAGAGGATACCCATACTGTGTTGTATGACTCTTTAAATGCGATGAGGAGCAATCACTGAATTTGAGACAAATTTACTTTGCCATGATTATCAATTGCTGAATTTTATGCTTTTTACTGAAGTCAAAGATTGTTTATTAAAAGAACAGGGAGGGTGGTTTTTATTTATATTTATTAAAATAGTTTATTGTATTATGTAACGAATACGGAGAGAGATTGCGCCAGTCCGAGGCGGTAACTCATCTGCCGACTTGGGCTGCCTCCGCGTAGATTGCCATCACGCCAAGTTCGAGTCGGACTGTCCGCGCCTTTTGCCGGATATATATCTCGTCTCGTCAACGCCGAGTCCCTTCGATCGCCGGCTCTGACTCTCTCATGGCGACCGACACGGAGGAGGCGGAGAAAGCCTTCAGATCGGCGGAGGAGCGCTTCCTCGTCGACGACCTCGACGGCGCGCTGCGGGTGGTCCGGAACGCCAAGAGGCACTTGGCGTCGCTCCCTGCCCTGGAGAGCGCCCTCGCGGCGTACGAGGTCCACGCCGCCGCCCGCGGCGGGAGGAACTGCTGGTACGCGGTGCTCGGCGTCGGCCAGCCGGAGCCGGTCACGCACGACCACGACGCCATCAAGAAGCGGTACAGGCGCCTCTGCCTCGTGCTGCACCCGGACAAGAACCGCTCGGCGGCCGCCGACGGTGCGTTCAAGCTGCTCCAGCGGGCGTGGGAGGTGCTCTCCGACCGCCACCCTCCGGGAACTGGCTCTGATCCCGGCTCTGGACTCGGACCCGGCACCGGCGCCAAGCCCAGGCCGCCGCCGGCCGGAGCGCCCGACCCCGACTGGTGGTCCTCGTTCTTCGGCAACTCGCCGCCGCCTGGAGCGCCCGACGACCCCGACTGGTGGTCCTCGTTCTTCCGCAACTCGCCGCCGGCCGGAGCGCCCGTCCGCGACTGGTGGTCGTCGTACTTCCGCTACAAGCCGCCGCCCGAGCGCACCTGGTCATCGTACGGCTACACGCCGCCGCCGCCGCCCTTCTCGTCGAGGTACGCGCGCAAAAAGGGCACCGCCTACTGCGGGCACTGCGGCTCGGAGTCCGAGTCCGCCGCGGGAGGCGGCCACCGCGGCACGCCCGGCGGCAGGTGCCACTCGTGCGGCACTCCCTTCAATCCGCCGCCGGCGCGGCAGAGCCAGGCGGAGGGTGCCTCAGCCCCGCCCCCGGCAGGCAGCGCCGCCGAGCCACCGCCACGTGATCCTCCGCCGCGGCGGCAACGTGACGATGACGAGCGGGAGAAGTTCACGTGCCCCACCGAGTGCTCCCGGTGCAAAACGACCTTCTCGTCGCTGGTGTCCCGTGGGATGTGCAAGCTCAGGTGCCAGGCCTGCTCCTACGACGCTTTCGTCTACGTGTACGACCGCCACCGGGCCATCGCTTTCTGAAGCTTCTTCTCCTCCTCCTTCGTCATCTTGTTGCATTGCAAAGAATACGGGACTGTGCATGTGTGTGTCTCTTGCAGGTGTGGCGCCGCCGGCTAGACGAACGACCTCGACTCCATCCTCCTCCTTTTGCAACTGCATGAAACAAAGCTTTTCTTGGACGAAGACTTTGTGGGGGCGGTGAAGGTTTGTTTGCGAATTTGCAACGATCCATTTATATTGTTTGCGACTAGCCAGCTACAATTCATGCATGCCACTGATTTATTCGTTTGTTCTTAAAAATTCAAGGAAGGATGTGCAAATCGTGAAGTGCCATGGTTGAGATTGTAAGTCGTTAATGTGACCTGCTGCTTACTAGTCTCGAGCCGACGCGACGCTATACCGGAAAGGCCCCTCGGGGTGTATGAAAGGTATAGAAGTTTTATTCGCGCATAGCTTGGAAAGGTGATCCGGGCAAACCCCTTAAAAAGGTTTTCCCCCGAACCCCCTTTCCAAAAAAATAGTGATCAGTGAACCTATCTATTTCTGATTAAATCAGTGGTTAGGTTCACTACTATGAAGAGATAACTAACTATCCCCGCCCTTGGGGGGAAGCCCCCTCCCCCCAAGCCCCCCTAAAGAAAGAAGATATAAAACACAGTTCGTTGTTGCCTTCTTTGGATTATTAGTTAGTTATTTCATGTTCATACGATCTTCGGGATAGAGAATCCTCCCTGGCAGGAAGGCTTCTCTCTCCCTTGATCTCATTGATAACATTCTTCTATCACTCTGCTATGCTTCCCGGAAAATCGGGATTAAAGAATAAAAACTTCTATACCTTTCCGGGAAGCAGAGCAGAGAGAACGGAGCCCTCGCCCCGGAGGGGGATAATTCTATTCTTTATAAATAAATCATAGAATTCATTTAATATACCGAATAAATAACAGTATAGATCCCTTATCTATACTATTATTTATTAACAGTGGCATCCCTCCGGGATGTCTTACTACCCTTCGAGTCCAATCTCAGGGTAGCGCTTAGGCAGGGTTAACTAATAAAATAAGATCGGTCGTCTTCCCAAAGGGAAGATCTCCCTTTTCTCACTAGGGCTTCCCAACCTGGCAGGTTGGGTTCTTCCTATTGCTTTCCTATTTTATAGAATTCCTCCCAAGGTCGGAAACTAGATTATCTTCTTCTTTAGGTTATTCCCTTCGGTCAACCCTAAATAAGTTGATTGGCAAGTATAAATTATAAATAAAATAAGAGTTAAGGAATAGATCGGAAAAGGCACTTATCTTTTGATAAAGAGCCTATTTATTGCCATTCAGATCGGTTTATCAATCCAAATCATCGATAAATAATTGATTAGAATGATCTGTGAACCCTTTGTTGCAATATAGTTGTTTCCTGAATGGGATAACATGGGTTAGTGCTAGCCACCTACTTCTCCAAACAGGTAAGATCTACCTGGTGGGGTTCGAATCCCCACTGTGAGATGCGTGGCCATGGAATTAAAACTTCTATGGCTGGCCCAAGGTTCCCTATCTTGTCGATTGTCTAGCTTAGGAAGAGCCATCAGAACCTATCCGTAATCAACCCCCAGGGATAATGGCACAACTTACATTCCCTGGCAAGAGCAGGCTAGAGACTTGAGCTACAAAGGACAAGAAGGCACAGATTGTGGCATATCTTCCTTGCTAGGAGGAAGCAACCACTGGCAGGTTCCCTCGGGGAGCTTTGCCTGCGATAGTGACCGACGCGACGCTATACCGGAAAGGCCCCTCGGGGTGTATGAAAGGTATAGAAGTTTTATTCGCGCATAGCTTGGAAAGGTGATCCGGGCAAACCCCTTAAAAAGGTTTTCCCCCGAACCCCCTTTCCAAAAAAATAGTGATCAGTGAACCTATCTATTTAAGATTAAATCTGTGGTTAGGTTCACTACTATGAAGAGATAACTAACTATCCCCGCCCTTGGGGGGAAGCCCCCTCCCCCCAAGCCCCCCTAAAGAAAGAAGATATAAAACACAGTTCGTTGTTGCCTTCTTTGGATTATTAGTTAGTTATTTCATGTTCATACGATCTTCGGGATAGAGAATCCTCCCTGGCAGGAAGGCTTCTCTCTCCCTTGATCTCATTGATAACATTCTTCTATCACTCTGCTATGCTTCCCGGAAAATCGGGATTAAAGAATAAAAACTTCTATACCTTTCCGGGAAGCAGAGCAGAGAGAACGGAGCCCTCGCCCCGGAGGGGGATAATTCTATTCTTTATAAATAAATCATAGAATTCATTTAATATACCGAATAAATAACAGTATAGATCCCTTATCTATACTATTATTTATTAACAGTGGCATCCCTCCGGGATGTCTTACTACCCTTCGAGTCCAATCTCAGGGTAGCGCTTAGGCAGGGTTAACTAATAAAATAAGATCGGTCGTCTTCCCAAAGGGAAGATCTCCCTTTTCTCACTAGGGCTTCCCAACCTGGCAGGTTGGGTTCTTCCTATTGCTTTCCTATTTTATAGAATTCCTCCCAAGGTCGGAAACTAGATTATCTTCTTCTTTAGGTTATTCCCTTCGGTCAACCCTAAATAAGTTGATTGGCAAGTATAAATTATAAATAAAATAAGAGTTAAGGAATAGATCGGAAAAGGCACTTATCTTTTGATAAAGAGCCTATTTATTGCCATTCAGATCGGTTTATCAATCCAAATCATCGATAAATAATTGATTAGAATGATCTGTGAACCCTTTGTTGCAATATAGTTGTTTCCTGAATGGGATAACATGGGTTAGTGCTAGCCACCTACTTCTCCAAACAGGTAAGATCTACCTGGTGGGGTTCGAATCCCCACTGTGAGATGCGTGGCCATGGAATTAAAACTTCTATGGCTGGCCCAAGGTTCCCTATCTTGTCGATTGTCTAGCTTAGGAAGAGCCATCGAACCTATCCGTAATCAACCCCGGTGGATAATGGCACAACTTACATTCCCCGGTAAGAGCAGGCTAGAGACTTGAGCTACAAAGGACAGGAAGGCACAGATTGTGGCATATCTTCCTTGCTAGGAGGAAGCAACCACTGGCAGGTTCCCTCGGGGAGCTTTGCCGGCGATAGTGACCGACGCGACGCTAAATCATCGCTTTTGGGCGCAGGCAGCCCTCTACCATCCATCCCATTGCATTCCTGCTAGCACTACAAAAAGCTCCGGTCTTAACGACCCTACGGAAGTCTGTGCAGCCTTTCCTCGGGTTCAGAGAGTCGGGTTTCCGCTTACCCATTAACGGAGGAGCCGCCCCACCAACCAAAGCAGGTAGGCGGCCACGGTTCATAACGCACTCTTCGCACAACAGATCCACTTTGAAGTTGACTTATTCGCTCGTGCCAATCGTCGGAATGTGTACGAGATACCATAAGGGCCCAATATCTCAATAGCACCCTTGTCTAAAGCTTCAATGAGACCGAATATCCGAAACGCAGAACGATCGACTAGAAAGTCATTCAAAACTTGATCAAGAACCAGCGTTTATTGAAGAAGCTATAGAGTCGATTACAAAAAGTACTAGTTTGAAAGGCTCGTTGGAATTGATCCGCTACGAGATTGACATTATACGCTAGAGAAGCACCTGAAGTACTAAAATGTAATAGGTATTAGTTTTGTAATGGTTGGAGCAACAAACTCGGATTCGCAAGAATCTCATTTTTTGGTAGTACGAAGGAGGAATTGGCCCAAAAATTGGATAGGGGTAAAGACGCAGCCGGGTGCTTGGCGGCTTATTCAAAGTGCCCCCGAATCATGCTGCGAAATGGTCGCCTATTACACGGCTCACAAACTCTGCCTGGGTGGGGCTACCTATTATTCAGAGGCGGTACGTACGGCGCACCTTGAGGGCCTCGGTTTGCTGCGTGGACTGTCTATGCATTTCCTACAGAGTGTATTGGAACCCAGCTTTCAGCTCGCCGAGCCAAAAGGAAAGAAAAGAATGTAAACAATGGAGGCGAAGAGTAGAGTATAGCCAAGGGGCTTTCGTCGTCCGTAAAGGACCTAACGGAAGACCGTGCTCCGAAGTGCACTGAGAGTTTAGTTTTAAGAACACTTGGCCTTATTTTGAGCCATGTCTAGGTAGAATCGGCAAGATTGAACCGAGGCCCGCCCGGGCACCGCCGGGGGGACAACCAGACTAACCAGTAGGCTTTCTTTCCGAAGTTTCCTCCCGGGGCCCTTAAATCATTGAATTCATAGGCATAGGGCGTCCCAGGCAGTGGTTCATTCAATGAGAAAGAAAGACAGGAGGGCAGGATTCGTCGTGTCGGGCGAATTCATTCTGGGAAAAAAGGGGGATTTTGAGTGAGCTATGCGAAGGGAAGGGAAAGGGAGTCGTGGGCTGAGCCGGAGGTCACTTTTCCCGATCCATCCCGAAGGTTTTTTTCCCTCTCTCGCTCCATCATCGTACCCAGTCCTGCTATCGGCTCAGCATTCCTCGTCAATGTTGATCCTGGAGAAATTGTTTGAGCAGGATACTTGGTTTCTATGACAATTGTGAGTTATTTTTTCTATTCATGTTTCCTCGATCTCCCAAAGAGATGATGGAATGTCGTTGGTACTGAAACAGGTCATCTGTCAATGGAGAAGCTGCAAACCCCACAACGAGAAGCTCTGAAACTCTGTATGCTCCAGCTGCTGCTGGAAGCACACTCCCCTGAAACAAGTACCAGAACAGGCAAGGTTAGCACCCAGAAGTTATAAAAAAAAAACTAAACGTTTAGAGCGGACGTTCTGAAACAAGAGTATATATTGCTATGATATCGAGCAAAAGTAGTTCCAGACATGTAAAAAAAAACTAGTGAGTATTAATTTATAATATTTTCGGAGGAAGAAAAAACAGGAACTGATGTTGATGATTATATGTTATAGGGCCCTACAAATTTAGGACATCTCATCAACTTAACCATTTTTTACAAGATAAAAAAGGCTAATTTTGCTTGCATAGTGATGTTGTCATTATTTAGGAGTTAGGACCATTCAAGTTTTTTAGATTATAGACTTGGTCTAAGTTCCATAAACATCCATATATCTGAAAACAGCCCTACCAAAAAATTGGTCCCCAAAAGACCAGGTATTGGAGGCTCTCCCAAAATTTTCGTCTGAGGTGGATGGAATCATCTGTGAAGCCACCACTAGGGATTGACTGCTGATGTTGCAGCTATCAGCTTGGAAAATTTCATGACATATAAATTAAGCAAAGGGATAGCATGCATGGAAAGTGTTCATTCATGAACCATGATGTAAAGTTCTCTGCCATGATACATGTAAGCTTTATGCACATCTATATTAGTAACAAAAGAATAATGTTCATGCTATGCCGTTATGAAATTCCATCAAAGCTTACGTGTAGGCTGTGCTGTGTGTTTTGCTGCTACGAGCAAAGAAACTGTAGTCTGCAATGTTGGTTGAAAGTGCAAGGACCATGAGGAACATGCGAGATTACACACAGATTTGAGGCCTGGAACCTTGGCTTTGCATAATCGAGCCGTTGGTGATAGTTTTGTTTGTACGGGGAATCAGAAAGAAGGTGGAAATAATTTGACGTTTGACACTTAAAAGCTTATAGGGAACAATCCAGCTTTCTTTAGAACCAGTTTTGGCCCAGCTTCTATAGAACATTATTCAGTAAAATGAAAAAGATTTCAACTGCTCATTGAGGATATGATGTTGCCAATGAGTTCCTATTAACAATCTAACGACACATGAATGAGGTCCAAGTACAGCTAGCTTGCAAGCTAGGACAGCACTAGTAGGTATTCTTCAGTGCGCCTTAGAGAATATAAAATAATAATTGTCGCCATATTTGAGTTGCTAAATGCTACTATTCCAGAATTGTCACTACGTTCCTTCCTGGACCGGATCTGCAAGCCGGCGGGCGCTGAGAGCTCCCGCTCTGTGCGGCGTCTGGAGAAGGGTGTTAGTGGCAAGTCTTATCCTCGCATGTGCAATGCGAGGAGACCGTGACTCGAACCCAGGACCTTCCGGTCACAGACGATAAGACTCTACCACTTGCACTGCAAGCCGGCAAGGACTAAAAATTCTTACAAAAATAAAAATATCCAGACATTAATTCGATGTACTCAGCTATCATACTTAAAACTACGAAGAATTAGATATGGAGATTTTATCGATTATTTTGACACCGAGATAGTCAGAAACGGAAAAATTATGAACTAAAAAGATCTCACTGGTTCTACAAATTTATTATACTACAAATGTGGCAAATATGAGCCAGAGAGGGTGTAAATGAGCCCAGAGAGGGTAACGTAAGGCCGTAAGCGGTGAGAGAATGTGGGCGGCACTACCTATTAAATTCTAGAACCTGTAGTTTGCTATGAGTCAGTTTAGATAATGATCCTACGTGCTCTGCTTGTTGTAACAATCTTACAGACTTGACCACGTTTCGTTGGTCCTACACAACACGAAGCCATTGCTGCCAAGGGCATTCAGAATGATCTGCTTCTTCCAAGTGAACTTGCTGAATCCTGCTGCTTCACTTCAGAGTGAACTTGGTCTAACGATTCGGAAGCCTGCTCCTGGAGACATGGCTTTGCATGCTTCTTGATCCATCTCCTTGAAGCGCAATAACTAGTAATCTGAATCTAGTAATATACAGCAGCCCGACTGTAGTAATAAACAATAACTAGTAATCGGAATCTGGTAATATACAACTAGCAACCCGAATGTAGTAATAAATAAACAACATATTGATTAACAAAAAACCAGAGAACCAAACATGTTAAGCTACAAGACCCAGTGTCAAAAACTGAGGTTGCCAGAACCTGAAGTTAACATTCAGTAGAAACAGGAGACAACCAGAATCAGGAGGTGCCCAAAATGAAACTCTTGCCAACCAATTTAATCTCAGACTCTGCCATAACCAAAAACAACCATATCGAACACAGATTTAAGTTCATAGATCACAACTTATTCATGAATACACCATACCGGTGCACAAAGACAGTTTTAGGTAGAACACACAGGGACACAACCGGTCCATGAAACCGAAGCAAAGCCACGACGCAAACCACACAGATGTACTTCAAAGTACACAGCCAAGACAAGATGCACCAGAGGACAAGGGCACATGAGTAGCTTCGACAAATGATGGCTTAATGGCCACCACGGAGACGCAGCACCAGGTGGAGGGTGGACTCCTTCTGGATGTTGTAGTCAGCAAGGGTACGGCCATCCTCCAGCTGCTTGCCGGCGAAGATCAGACGCTGCTGGTCTGGGGGAATGCCCTCCTTGTCCTGGATCTTGGCCTTGACGTTGTCGATGGTGTCTGAGGACTCCACCTCCAGGGTGATGGTCTTGCCAGTGAGGGTCTTGACAAATATCTGCATACCACCCCTCAGGCGGAGCACCAGATGGAGGGTGCTCTCCTTCTGGATGTTGTAGTCCGCAAGGGTGCGGCCATCCTCCAGCTGCTTGCCGGCGAAGATGAGGCGCTGCTGGTCCGGGGGGATGCCCTCCTTGTCCTGGATCTTGGCCTTGACGTTGTCGATGGTGTCTGAGCTCTCAACCTCCAGTGTGATGGTCTTGCCAGTGAGGGTCTTCACGAAGATCTGCATCCCACCCCTCAGGCGGAGCACCAGGTGCAGAGTGCTCTCCTTCTGGATGTTGTAGTCAGCAAGGGTGCGGCCATCCTCCAGCTGCTTGCCGGCAAAGATGAGGCGCTGCTGGTCCGGGGGGATGCCCTCCTTGTCCTGGATCTTGGCCTTGACATTGTCGATGGTGTCTGAGGACTCCACCTCGAGGGTAATGGTCTTGCCGGTGAGGGTCTTCACGAAGATCTGCATCCCACCCCTCAGGCGGAGCACCAGGTGCAGAGTGCTCTCCTTCTGGATGTTGTAGTCCGCAAGGGTGCGGCCATCCTCCAGCTGCTTGCCGGCAAAGATAAGGCGCTGCTGGTCCGGGGGGATGCCCTCCTTGTCCTGGATCTTGGCTTTAACATTGTCGATGGTGTCCGAGGACTCCACCTCGAGGGTAATGGTCTTGCCGGTGAGGGTCTTCACGAAGATCTGCATCTGCAAAGTATAATCAAACAACAGGGTAAGTGCATAGCAGTAGAGCAAGGAGGAAATGAAAACCACAAAGGTGCCATGGAATCAACAAACAGTAACACTGTAACATCATGTCTCCGTCCAAGTACATAAAGATATAACTACGGGCATGCATGTTGAACAGATTGATGAAAAAGAATTATCAAAAAGCATCCATGTATACCTTCATTTATCTAAGCATGCATATCAAACAAAACAGCAAACAAAACAGGTGGATGCATGTTAGCAGGTGGATGCATGTTCACAGGCAAAAGCTATAGTGTCAACTGCATATAAGCCTTCATGTATCTCCTAAGCATGCAGATTGACAACAATGAAAACTTTCTCAGGTAACAGGCTAACAGCTACAACATACATCTTCGACTATCAAAGCACATATCCATCCATCCATCAATAATTGTGAACATGCATGCAGATCCAAATTCAATAAGCCCATGAGCAGTTCAGGTGATTATTCGACTGATCTAGAGGGGGCAAAGCAAAGAGACCAAAAGCAACAAAATTGACCCTAGACATACAGATCCAAATTCAATAAGCCCAGTTTAGGTGATTATTCAACTGAAAAGATTCTAGAGGGGCAAAGCAACAAAACTGATTTTTACTAGACGAATCAGCCAGGCACACAAACCTATCGACCTACCAGAGGTTTGTGAACGAAATCAGGCGCACCCATCTAATTCCATAACCATAAGGACAGGATCATAAGGCTGAACAAAAACAGGATTGACTAGATCGTATCTGCACCGGGAATTAAAAAACTACTAACGCAGCAATAAGCCAAATAAATAATTATCACGAGATACGATTCATATCTAGTACTGTAGTCGCCTAGATGATGGCCGTAGTTCCTAGATCATCAAGTCATCAAGCAATTAACCCCCAACCCCAATTTAATTCGCACAAAAGTGATAAAAGTCAGTGGAACCTATCAAATCGACACAAAAGTTCTAACCCTAGCCCGCCTAGGCCTTAACCATAGATCGCGCCTAGGGAGGAGAATCGATCTACAGATCAGCAAAGGAGAGAGAGGATCACCGTGCGTAACTTGGGGCGGATCGGATTTTGCTGTGCGTGCTCCGAGCAACACGAAACGAGACTCCGAGAGGGGATTGAGCCTGAGGATGAGGAGGGGTAGTATTTATGGCTGGGGCCTGGGGAACCCGTGACGGTCACCATCCCGTTCCGTTGCGTGCGTCCAGTCGTCCCCGCAACCGCCGCGCAGTTTCCGGAATCCGCCTACTACGTGGCTACGTCTCGACCGTCTGCTGCGCTTGGCTGCTGGTGGTTGGACGGCCGGACGCCCCATTTGCAACCTTAGCATCTCCGGTACCAGCAGAAAACTCCAACCCTAGAACTGGAGAGATACAAAAACGTGTTTTGGGTTTTAAAGTTCTTCTCTCCAGCAAAACGAGAAAATTTAATCCTCAATGAGAAAAATAATGGATTAGGCAAGGAGAGCTCTCCCCTTTAGTTGAGGGGTAAGAGGCTATAATTTAAGGGACGGCTAGAGCTACAATATCTTTAAAATAACAGTTTTTTTCATTGGGGTTTAGGAAAAATGGACTACTGGAGATGCTCACGTGCTCCTCCTCTCCACGTTCACTGACGGGTGGGGCCCGCCACCTGGAAGATATTTTTTTCCTTTTCATTCGTCATTCAATCGTGAAGTTAGGATTGAAATTCGATTCTCATGTAGCAAGTAGATCCCTTTTAAAACATCCAAAGTCGGTGCACAATGCAGAGAGTATAGTTTGCAACCAAACTTTTGTGATAGTGGCGTGCATTTAATATTTATTAATTATTACTTATTTGTATTATTGGACTGAGTATGAAATACTAATTTGAATTAGCATTGAATTAATTATTACTCCGTGCTTATTGGAGGGAGTATGAACCAAACTTTGTGCTAAGGGTAATCCCAATGGAGAAACCATAAACAGTTCCATAGTATAGTACTCTTTACTAAGAAACGCATCTGGATTCTCCCAACGCAGCTTTTCCATCTAGAGTACAAATACAAATCTGACCAATGATTCATCGGGTCCGTATCTGGATCCTCTGCACCCGTGGCCCTGTGGACGAGCCTGTGCCTACATCCTCGCCACGGATCCGAAGGAGCTTGTCTGGTTGGCTGCATCGTCCGCCGGCAGGGCTTCTCGCACACGGCACATCCCCGTCCTCGAGCAGAAGGGGACTCCGCGTCCGTCGGTGGCCGCGACGAAGGGCTCCGCGCGTGCCCACTCAGTGGCCGCGACGAAGGGCTCCACCCCCGCGCCTCAGTGACCGGTGCCCGCGACGAAGTTAGACGAAGACGCAGCACGCCCGCTCGGTGGCCGACCGCGGGGAAGACGAAGACAGAGGCTGGTGTCGAGCGACCGGCATCTGCCTCGCGAGCGTCGAGCAGCGCGGGGAGGCCGCATCTACGACGCGGGCGTCGAGCGGCCGGCATCTGCGACGCGAGCGTCCAGCGGCGCGGGGAGGCGGCATCTACGACGCTGGTGTCGAGCGGCCGGCATCGGCGACGTGAGCGTCGAGCGGCGGTGCGCGGGAGGACCGGAGCAGTGAGGCAGGTGCGTCGAGGCGGACCGGTGAGTCGGTGTTGAGCTTGCACGGCCGCGCGCGTGAAGGTCAGGGATTTGCGACGCGCGAACTTGGCGCAACAACAGCGCACCGGATCAGGAGGAGCGCCATGGAAACCAGTAGTTTCTCCCTAATGCATTTTCTGTCCTTTCTTCCTGCGTTGATTCGCGTAAGGACGTCGTTTCTTCCATACCCTCTCTCTACAGTAACTTCTTTGTCACGTCAGCAAATTACTAAGTTGTCACTGCAATTAAGAGGGATAGAAGCTACCATCAGTGTCCTATTGGGACTGCCCTAACACTAATTCAATGCTTCATGCCAACTGTGATGAATCGGATGGCGTAATAACAATAGTTCTGTCCTAGAAGTAGAGTTGAATGTTCATGCACAAAAACAAGTATATCCGATTATTGTAGGGTCTTTACTCTGTGTGCCATTATAAAAGATGCTCTATTCCTACATGCCACCAAAAAGTTTACACGGACTCTGGTGCCATGACGCTAAACTCTTTTGTCCAACACGACATTCCGTCCAGTTTTGCTCCTAACGGTGGGTAATGGCGCAACCAAATGACTTAGATGCCCTTAGGCTTGAGAGGCTCTGTGAACTAGTTGGTTTGCTTCTGTACCATACCAAGGCCAGCCCCAGGCCGAGCGTTTTGGCGCCAAAGCCAAGGTTGTTGGTGCCAACTGAGCCCCTGAGCTTCTCCTATATATAGGTCCTCAGCCCTATCTGTGTGTGAGTAGTCATGGATGAATGGATGTATAGATGAATGAATGAATGAATCAATGTTGAATGATGAATATGAAGATTGTTCATTTGTCTATAATGAAACAACATATGAGAACAATATAACAACAATTAGAGTACCGCAACAGTAAACAAACATTCATCACATAACAACAGCTACCTTACTGTTTTTCATCACAAAGGTTTCATGGCACCAACATGTCACCAACATTCATCACATAGCAGCTAAGTTACTGGTTTTCATCTACATCTAAGTACTGTCATGCCATCACATAGCAGGTGTTCTTCCAGAACCACATCACCAAAAGAACATTAAGCAGGCACATTTCACTGCAGCTGGAGCTTCTTCTTGCTTCTGGTATTTGAAGTAGGGCTAGCTAGGCTGGATGGGCTGGCTGCTGCAACTTGGAGCTTCTTTAGTGTAAGCTTCTTCTTGATCCCTATCTTCCTCCTTGGTGAAGCCTAGGGTAGCATAGTCTTCAGTGGCTCTGTCTCTATTGTAATGGAGTCTTCATAGAAAGGGGCCAGGTGCACAGTTTGGATTAGAACTGGGTCATTGGAACCAGTTCCAGACCTTGTGGCAAAAAGGCAGAGTGTGCTTTAGCATTAGCAGTCATAATAGAAGTGTTGTGATCAATTGAAGAGCTGGTAAACATACCTGTTAGATACACTGTTTGGACCTAAGCTTGAAGTAGTAGTGGTAGCTGCCCCATTGCTCTTCTTGGCACTAGAAGAAGAAGAAGATTTCCTCTTCCTTTTCTTGTGTGTAGCATTGACCACTCCCTCATTGTGTGGGAACACCATCTGGGATGGAGTAGCAACCACAATACTAGTTTCTGTGTTACAGCTTGCTGCTTTTTTTAGTATTTTCTTTGAAAGACCACTGCATAGAAAAAGTTACATTAGTTAACTAAGTTATTGAAGCTATACATGTATCTGCAAAGTAATTTAGTTACATAGTTTACCTTTCAGCCTCCATTACAGCTATATCTTTTGGATTCCCATTCTTGCAAGTGTACCAGTGATGCCCTAATTCATGGCAGATGGGGCACTCATGTTTCTTTGCCCTCTTCTTGCCGCTGCCTCCCCACATGATCATTCATTGGGTTTGGGTTAGCCAGGTATTCAGGTTCAGCAGATTGAGTGTGTGTGGTATGGCTTGATTCTGCTAAGCTTGGACAATCAATTGAAGGGGTGAATGGGGGTTCAACAGAGTTCACAGTGCTACCAGAATCCCAATCAAGAATCACAGGGGGGCTCACTACTTAGGTTATGATATGCAACAGTCAACAAGCAGCATTTGGAAGCCTTATGTTTTGCAAACATTTCAACCAAATCTTGGTCAGTGCAGACTTGGATGTTCACTTTACTATCCATGCAGAAATAAAACAATCTCACTATGTCACCGTAGTTATGAAAATACTTGTCGACAACTTCAGCAACCATGTCTGTGAAGTTAGTGCGGTCAGCATCCATGACTTTGTTGAACGAAAGCCACCACGCACGAGAACTAGGAGCAACAAACCAGATTTCTAAGTTGTAACTACTTTATGCATCCATCCTACAGATGAACAAGGAGCACACAATCAACACTATAAACATGGGGCACAAACGCAGGGCACTAAATACCAATCAACACTACAAACACGAGGCACCACAAAACCAAGGGGAGAAGCAGTGAACTCACTCGTCCGGAGGCCAATCCGGTCGCTCGCCCATGCCCTTGTTCCCCGCTATGCCACGCCTATCCTCTGGATCCACGGTCGAATCCATGCTCCACTACCCCATGTGCCGCCACAAGCATAGGGGATTCATCGTCTTCTCTCCTAGCCGCCGCTA